AAACATGGTGTGGGAGCTCCAGCCTCTCCAGTGCTGGGTTTTCAGGTCATTATAGAGATAGGGCAATTCTTTCTTAGTCAATTGCTCATTGCACAAAGGTTGACCAGTAGTCCTCCTGTTGGTACATTTAGTGAGCAAAGATTAGAATCCCAAGGCATGCATGGGAGGGGCTGTCCTTGGCCTCATCCTGGCACCTCTACTGGTAGGGGACTGCCTGTGAGTGGTTTTCAGAGCCTTACAGGTGCCTCTGTATGGTGAAGACAGTTCCCAGGGGACACAGTTACAGTATCCTGTGTCTATCTTAAGGATGTGGGGCCAAGAGACTAGCATCTCCTTGGTATCTGAAGACAGAACTAAGCTAGCCACTCTTGCATCGTTTCCAAGACCGCTCCCCTCACATTGAATGGCACCATTTCTGTTTTCTGTGTCCTGAGGAGGCTACACCATTGTAAGGGGGCAGGTGTATATTTGGGGCTACTAGACCAACAGAAAGTGTTGGTGGGTGTGTTCAGCCTTGTTAGTGAGAAGAAGACGGGAAGGCTGTACCCAGGCTCCCTGGCCCTTCTAGGTCAGGGGTGGTGCCTGGGAGGCTGCATGGCAAAGGCCAGTGGCCCTCCAGTCTGGTCTGTAGGAGGGACGCTGAGCCGGAAGTGCACTGGGGCAGTTCAGATGTCACAGTCTCATTTCTGACTTGGAACTCTGGCCAGGCACATAAGCTTTCTTTTTCTGCTCTTTCTTTCTTTCTTTCTTCCTCCCTCCCTTCCTTCCTTCCTTTTCTTCCTTCTCTCTCTCTCTCTCTTTTCTGTTTTGGTGCTGGGGATTGAACCCAGGGCACTTAACCACTGAGCCACATCCCCAGCCCTCACATCAACTTTCTTGAGCTGCACATGGAAAGAATAGTGACACCCTTAGGAATAGCCACCCCAGAAAGGCCTGGTTGATTTGCTTCTGCTGGCTGGAGGTGTCCAGGCAACACCATCATGCTGTGGAAATGATCCCTGGCCTGGTCTCCTCAGGGTGGGCCCAGGGTGCTTCTTGGGAAGTCGGGGCAGGGCAGCCCTGAAGCTCGGCAGGGACCCCACTCAGGTTTGGAAGATGCACATGCACCGGTGAGCTTACCTCACCCATCAGACGGGAAGGCGGGTGGGAGTCCAGGGGGCAGTGCAGACCACAAGAGAAGGTACAGAATGAAGCAAATGATGCTTGTCCCACCTCAAGGAAATGAAAGTGCCTCGGTGCCCAGAGTCTACCACCAGGGTCAAGACCTGAAGCTGGTACCCCGGGGCTGCGGTCCCTGAGGAAGCAGGGAGGTGCCACCCCATCCCAGAGGGACTGCCGCTCCTCACTCCCACGATTTCCCACTCTGCACAGGTGCCAGGTTTTCTGCCTCTCCAGCATGCCCTTGAGGAAGCTGTGATTTGGGTATTGATTGAGCACCTGGAATGTTCCGGGCATAGGGCCAGAGTGTCAGCCAGGGAAGACCCGCCCCTGCCCTCATGGGACACACAGACTGGGGCAGACAGACACTATCAAATGAAAAGCACAGGCTGCCAGGGGAGAGGCAGGAGCATGGAGAGGCGGGACTCTGGGTGTTCAGGACCCAGGTTGGACCACACCGAGCCGAGGGACTCTGGTGAGGCCAGCACATCCGCACCACAAAGCTCCTCGCTTCTGAAACATCCATCAGGAATGTCCCCAGTGGAGCCTGGACCCATGTGTCACCTCATTTATTCAGAGAAAACCGTGTGGTGAACTCGGGTCTCTGCCCATTTGAACTAGAAAAACAAAGGTCACTGTGTGAAGACTCAGGCGGGGACAGGTGGCACTGGACCTGGAGTTCCAGGGTGAGTGCCCAGGATATTGTGCACTCTATTGGATATAAAACCCAGACTCTCCCCGCCCCATGGGAGACCTCACCATTCAAATTGCCCTGAAATGAATGTTTCTTGAGTGGTGTCTGCTGCTGTCACTTTGTTTTGAGGGACGTTGCTTCAGTGATCCTGTTTCCCTCCTGGGGTTGGTGTGGCCTGGCTGAGAGTGGGACACCGTGAGAAAAGGTCCCCTCTATGCCTGGTCCTTCTGCTGGGGTCTCTGTGTGTGAGGACAGGCGCCCACAACCGTTCTGACTCTGGTGAGTGGGCGAGCCGGTGCGCTGTGGCCCTCGCCATGCCCAGGCAAGCCTGTGAAGGGGCCTCATCTGGTCGCTGAGCAGAGGGGATTCCTAGATCACTCCGTGTGCTGCTCTAGGGCACTTGTTTTTGAAAGGAAGTTCAGCTGTGAACTGAACTTCCACTGAAATCTCTTTAGGAGGGGCTCTGTCCAGTAGTTCTGAACCCTGCCTGTCAGTGGTGACATGGAAGGTGCACACACCCCTGTTGATTGGTGTGCCTTTCCACACTGACCTCCAGTGTCGGACACCATGGGAGAGCAAAGGTTCTGCAGGGGTCCTGGGTCCATCCTCAGCCCAGGTCCTGCAGCAACCATGAATGCTTTTAAAATTCTCTGATTTTCAGAGATAAAAGTTGTGTTTTATGCAAAAAGAGCTCCATCTGTTTGACTCACCCGTTTTGTGCCAGGGGCTTTATGGGAAGGGCACAGCCACATGACAGCTTCTCTCTGACCTGACCCCAGACCTGGCCCAGGCTGCCACCTAGTGGGAGCTGGTGGTGTGACGGCTCCCTGGGCCTGAACTGGGTCCCCCTGGGCTCTATGTTAATTTCTGGTGTTGAGGAACACTGGGACATCCGTGTGTCCCTTCTAATTTGGAAAACAAAGTGGAATTTGCTGTGATATGCTGAACAAAGATTATTTAAGTATGCGTTTTCTATCTTTCATTGAGAGCTTAATTTAAAATATTTTTCCTACATGGTCTCCACTTAAAAAATACCCCCCATTTTCACATTCTGAGTCCATTGCACACCTCAGAGCAAAGACTTTTTTGTTTGTTTATAGAATGAGCCACTATGGTTTTAGGGCTTTTTAATTCCTTGTTTGGTATTTTACAAATACCAGAGAGAGAAAATGCAGAACAAAGGGCCCTCCCCTCGCCCTCCCCCCAAAAAGCCAGCTTCATTGGTCTGCCACCCATTCCTCTTCATCTTTTTTTGCAAGAAATTCTTTAAAAAAAAAAAAAAAGGGCAAAAAGCAACCACCTGGGGTGGGCCTTGTAGGCACGGGTGCCTCTGTAGGGGAACCCGCGGGTCGGGAGGCAGTTCTTGGTGCACAGTCCCCCTCTATTGCCAGGAGCAGTAGAAAAGGAATGGGTGTGGCGCAGAGAGCAACGGCTGCCCGTGGAGATGGTCCTTTGTGCCCCATCCAGAGCTAGGCCACCCTTGTCTTGGTCCTCTGTTCCACAGACTCAGGAAATAGGTCCCCGCAGAGTAGGTGCTAGACAGTTTGCTGACGTTCTAGTTTGGATGAAGTTTCAGGAGTATTCTCATTCCCACGTGGAGAGAAAACCACACTTGAAATCGTCCTCAAAGCTCAAGGCTCTGGGCTCTTCCAGAGATGATGAGGTACAACCATCTGGTGGGGTCTGCCTCAGCACCCCCCAAAAGTGGTCAGGCCAATGTGGCATGCACATCTGAAAAGTAATGACTCCAGTGTGCTTTCGGACACACGGGGCACGCGGTGCCTGTCATCACAGAGCCACCGTCTTTACCAGCCCTGCGGGCGCAGCCTTGGGTTGAAAGGACATCAGAGGAGAGCTGCATAGGAAGCATCAGGAGACACGGGCCTCTGCCTGGTCCCTGGAGGACAGCGGCCATGGCTAAGTGGGAAGAGATGCTCTGGGCAGAGGGACCACCAGGAACAAAGCCCCTGCCCCAGCCCAGGGGCTTATTCAACAAGCTGGGGAGTGAGACTCGGTGGCCTCTCTGCTCTTAGGGTGCTAAGGAGACAGATGAGCACAAAGCTCACGCTGAATCCAGGAGTGTGGAAAGGCAGGTGAGACCACAGGAGGCCTCAGGACAGCCCCGGGTGAGCCTGGGTCTGTGGAGCAGCAGACCCTGGGCATCACCAACCTGCACTCAGCCAACCTCGGAGCTTCTCTCCCTTGCATTAAAGGAGGGTTCCAGGTGATTCCACTTGATCCCCAGGTTGGCTGATGCACCAAAACTCTTTGCCATATTATTTTAGTCTCAGGTGTCTCACCGTTGGAGAGGAGTTGCCACAGAGGTGGCAGTCATTGGGCCTTCTTCTTGGGCACTGATGATGAAGGCCTGGTCTTCTGGCCCAGCGAGGATGCATGGTGGGCAGATAGGAAGTGGTCGTTTGGAGGAGGCCATCTTGTGCCATTTGTGAGAACCTGTGCAGAGAGGGACATTGGTGTCCCTGCACCAGCATCATTCTGAGCTGTCTGTGTTTGTAAGCCCAGCCTTGGACAGAGTTCAGTTAAGATTCCTGGAACTGCGGTCCAAACTGTCCATGGTGTAAAATGCAGAGGTGACTGCAGTGTCTCTAGCCACCATCCAGATGGGCCGAGTCAGGGGTGTGACCTGCGTTTGCTGTTTGCATCTTTGGCTGATGCTCTGGCTACCAGAGGTAGCACCAGGGACCTCAGAGGGAAAAGCAAGAATGTGGACACCTGAAGATAAGTGCAGCCTGTGCGGGCCCAGCAGGTGGGGAGGGGAGCTTCACCAGGCCAGAGAGGACTTGGTCTCTTGTTGCATGAGAGCAAAGAAAGCAGCAGCCCCCATGCCATCCTCAGCCTCTGTTCAAAAGGCCCTGGCAGACCTGCATCGCCCTGGGCTTGACACCATGCACACCTTCTGGTAGCACCAGAGGATGCTCCCTGCCCCACTGCCGCCCAGATTCCCATGGGGAAATAGGAGAGGGGCCTCAAGGAGACCACCTCCGAACAGGAAAGAGGGCAAAAGCCAAATTCTTGGCTGCTGTTAGTTTACAGAGGAAGTTAATGTTTTGTTTTATCATCTTATCCCCTAAGTTCATATCCATTTAATGCTTTGAAGTATTTAATATTTGTCCATTTTCTTTTATAGGTTGAAGAGAGACCAGAGAAAGATTTTGCTGAGAAGGTATGGAATTTCTCAGTCAGCCTCTGCCATACGCTGTTCATCAACCTGGAGGGTCCCAGAGCTCCCCTTTGGAACTGAGAAGAAAGCGTGTTGCTTGGTGTATAGTAAAGACGTTGGACAGTGCATGACAAGGCCAGGAGAGAGGGCCACCCCCATGGCGTCACATCCCCATGGGGTCCCTGTTCACACGCCGTGTGTGTTGGACAATGGAGGCCCAACACAGCTAGGCCAGACAGAGCCCGTGGTGCCCGTGAGCACTCAGAGCAAACCGGCCATTCACTGTTGCTCCCCACATGCCCACAGATGACCCCCCATCGGGAAGTGGAGTTCGAGTGGGGCTGTGCGCCCTTGGGCTCATCGGGAAGGTGGGTTGTGTCTGCATCACGTTTACCTCACACTTTGCAGGGGTCTCGCAACATGCCGGGCTTGTCTGCAGCCACGCTGGCCTCCCTGGGTGGAACATCTTCCCGGAGGGGAAGCGGAGACACCTCCATCTCCATTGACACCGAGGCATCCATCAGGGAGATCAAGGTAAGGGGCGCTCTGCCATGACAGGAAGGGGCCTTTGTGAAAATCCGTCTTCAACTAAAAGATGTGTTTGTAAAGCTCTGGATCTTTCTTCGAAGTCCTGTCTCCACTGCCTCCCCTAAACAGTATCTCATAACAGCGAAAGGCAGTGCAGAAGGCGTCTCCTGACCCCATCTCACCCACCAGGGCAGACTGTGTGCCCACCCTCACGCCCTCGTTACCAGCCACGTGCTGTTGGTGGGGTTGTTCATCTCTGGGTTCTGCTACGTTTTTTGGAGTATTTGGACACTTGCTTGCTGCTCACAGACCACACCAAGCCTGGCACACAGCCTTGCCTCTGAATGTCCCCTCCCTCTCTCTGGAACGCGCCCTTACGGTCTATTTATAATGTGCCCTCGCAGGCAGTGTATGTTAGCGACTTTTTTCCACTAGAAGGTGGATATGACATATCCCTGGCATCGAGGACGGTGCCAGGCACTTGGTAGCATTCTCTGTGAGCAAAAGAGAAACAACCTAGTGGTATTTGTTCAAGTACCTAGGGCCATTGTGGCTGCAGGGGGGCAGGCCAGGTAAGCAAGCTTGGTGTCCTTCAGAGGACAGAACCAAGACACCGGAGCTGAGGCAGCTGGGCTTGGCTTCTCCTGTGGAAGAACTTTATAATAGTCAAAGCTGGTTAAAAGGAGGCCTGCTCCTCTGGTGATGTCTGAGCAGCTGGATGTCGTTTGCCCAAGAGGACAGAGAAGGATTTAAGCATCCACTGGAGGCTGGACTGGGTTACCTTGAAATTACCTTCCAAAGTCTATGTATTATGAGTATCTGAAACCAGAACAGATTTTCTCTGGAGGGTAGGGGTCCTGGGATTTAACCCAGGGGCACTTTACCATTAAGGTATATCTCCAACCCCCCCGCCTTTTTTTTTGAGACAGTTTCTTGCCAAGTTGCTGAGGCTAGCCTTGAACTTGTAATCCTTCTGCCTCAGCCTCCCAAGTCTCTGGGATCACAGGTGACTGTAGCCTCTCAGCATGTGGTGCCCGTCTCTCTCTCCTGGAGGTAAAGCTCTGCGCAGTCCTGTTTTGTCTCAGCTCTTAGTCTGTGAGCACCGTTCATCCGTCCAGCAAACTAGACTTGCTGAGAGTCTGGCTCATGCCGGACGCTGTCCCAAGCCCCAGGATTTGGGGGGTGAACGAGACAGGCAGGCAGGCATGGAGCTCCATAAGAGCAAGTGTTGCCGACTCCTGCGCCTAGCACCTCGCTGTGTCCTGCACAGAACCAGGTCTCTCAGTGCCTGGATGGATTGCTGAGTAGGCGGCAGAGTGCTGGTGCTATTTCCAGAAGTTCCAGTTTTTAAAACTATAACATCAAAAAAGGTACACCCAAACTTTATAAAATAGTGTAAAAATATGAGACATACCTAAATCTTAATCTTTATAAGATTGATGTTTATCTTATTTTCCCTTAACATTTCAAAGAGAAAATGTACACTCAGGCCACCCGAATAGCAGACGCTGCTCAGGCACCTGAGCTTGAGGTGTGTGTGATCTCTGCTGATTTTTCTCTTTGACGTCATTTGCCTACTGTGCCATTTCCCCCAGGAACTCAATGAGTTAAAGGACCAGATTCAGGATGTAGAAGGCAAATACATGCAAGGACTGAAAGAGATGAAGGTACCAGTTTACAGAAGGGTGGGCTCGCGGTTCTAACCCACCCTAACTTCAGAAAATCCCACAGAAGAAGTTCCAGGTGCACGCCCAGTCTGAAGAGGCCCAGGCTGTGGATGAGCTTGGAGTGGCGGGCGTGCCCGCGTGATGTGTCCCCTTCTCCCAAATGCAGCGTCTGAACCCAGTGTCAAAGGTGCAGCGCCCCAGTGGGAAGGCCACCCACAAAGCCCAATGGCCTTGCGCTCACCACCCTACCCCAGACTTGCACCCCGTCTCTCATTTCCCTCTGGAACAGCAGAGTGTGGGGAATGTCCTTGGTTCCCTTTGCTTTCTGAAGTCCTTACACACAAATGTGCTTCCCTTGATTTGCTTCTCAGAACATCTGGTGTCCACCAGCAGGGCCATCCTAACACGCATGCCTTTGAAGCATCCAGACTGTTTGCATGCCGTGTGGTCACAAGTGAAGCAGCAGCCAAATCTGTGTCTGAGTGTGTGCACGTTCCTTTCAGAACGGGGAGTTACTTCACTGTGCCCCAGGAGACTTGGTTGCCCTGTCCCTTGACAGTAGGTGAGAGGTCCCATAGAGGCGTCATCCAGGAGTGTGACAGGCAGACCCTCCGGGCAGCTCAGGGCAGTCAGGATGAAGCCAGGGCTGGTAAATCTGTTACTTCCTTTTTGGCTCTCAGAAAGTACCGAAAATTGTCTAAATTCAGTGTCAAAGGACACCAAACAAAGGAAGCAACACATGTCACATGACCATTCCTCATTCTCTTTATTGCCACCTCTATTTCCTCCAAAGGGAGGAAATCAAGACTCTGGCTTTTGACTCAAGTAAAACGGGAGCAAGGGGAACCACTGTTCTGCCCACAGAGTTGCCCTGTTTGACCTGCAGGGCTCCACCAGCGCGGCCCTCACGCAGCTCCGCCCGGCACCCTCTGCTCCGGGCCACGTGTCCCCCACCTCTGTCTTTAGCCCTGCGCAGTTTGCACCTGGAGACTCCACCCTCTCTCTGGCAGCACCTTCCCACAGTCATGTGTTGGGACCTGCAGGTGCGGGGAGCTCCTCTTGCTGGCCTCTTTCCCTGGGCTGGGATGAACTGTGTCCTTCCAGGACTTTCCCAGTGAGACTTGTCTGCCTTGTTTCATTTCCTGATGGGTCAAAATCTGAGTCACTGTTAATCGTTTCCTGGTGCGTGAGGCAGAACTGGGGTGACTGCATTGCTTGTGGTGGGGTTTAGTCTCCCCCAGCCACTGGCTCTTTCCCAAATTCCAGCCACATGTCTCCAGGGATGACTTTAGGAACCTGTTGAGCAGCCCTGACACCTTGGTGGGAAGACTGGCTGCTCCCCTGAGCGGCCCCTGGCTTGCACCCTGTGTTCCTCCTGCCCAAATGAGAAGAGAGTCAAAAACAAATCGTCTGCACAATGAGAACTTGGTCACCTTGAAAAGGGGGATTTCCGTGTGTGGAATTGCCATGTGCTTCTCACTGTGACACATTTTCCCTAAGAAATGACGTCTACACTAAAGGCTGAGTTTGGGTGTTGCTTTTTTTTTTTTTTAAAGAATACCAAATTAATCTTTGTTTTGACTTTCTTATCACAATTTCAAAACTATGCTCCGGTTTCTGCAGGACTCACTAGCAGAAGTGGAAGAGAAATACAAGAAGGCTATGGTTTCCAATGCCCAGCTAGACAACGAGAAGACCAACTTCATGTATCAGGTTGACAACCTGAAGGACACGCTGCTGGAGCTCGAGGAGCAGCTGGCTGAGTCTCAGCGGCAGTACGAAGAGAAAAGCAAAGTAAGCTGTGGTGTGTACAGGGCGCAGCGCTGGCCGGGGCTCGGGGGCTGTGAACGGGCTGCCAGGGGCCCTGGAAACTCCAACAGCTGAAGACATCCCGTGCTCTTTGCCAAGTGCCCTTGAAAGGTTGGCTGTCATTTCAACACGTAAAGCAGAGGCAGTTTTACTAGGGAAGGTCGTTGTTTTGCATGGAAGGTGCTATCCTAACCATGGATAAGCATGCTTGCAAAAGAACCAACATGCTTGGAAAAGGCACAGTTAGATGATTCCATTTTCCTATTCGCATACATTTTCTGTTGCTTCTCAATACCATAGAGAAATAGTTAAAGGTATCAAAGGTGTTAAGAAAATCGTATTTATTTTTGGCTGATGGGGAGACATGGTTTCTCCATTTAAGAATTAAATACCTTTATTTAAGCTCAGAGAAGAGTCTTATTTGCACTTGCACTAAGAACCACTGGGATTGGTTTGCTGTTAACTTATGTTATTGGCATCAGCCTGTTAAAGTTAATGACAGTTGACCTACTGGGGTAGCGGAGCCCAGCCGTTCTTCAGGAAGAAGGAATACTTGGGTTCTGTTTGTTTCAGTGGTACCAGGGTTGAACCCAGTGATGCTCTATCACTGAGCTACATCCCCAGACATTTTTATTTTTAATTTTTGAGACAGGGTCTAGCTAAGTTGCCCAGGCTGACCTTGAACTTGGAATCCTCCTGAGTAGCTGGGATTATAAGTGTGCAATACCACACCCAGCTAGGAATACTTGGTTTTCCTATTTGTAGGAATTAGGTGGTTTATCAAACCCTAGAATGTCATCCAGTTCTTTGGAGAGTATTCTGAGATGAACAGAGAATTTAATATGTGAATGTCATCGTCATCTTTTAAACTGATTGTATGGTCAGAATCCCAAGTATTAAAACCAAGGTCCCATCACCAACTCAAAGGCCTACTTCTTTGCCACAGGATCATGTTAGAAGCTAAAAGGAATTTTGCACACAGTTCCTGACAGCCGAGCTCTGAGAGTGTCTCATGAGGCCTGAGGACATGGTGGGGGTGAACAGAGGCGTGCTGTGGGCCCCAGTGCTGGCAGGCACGGTAGAGCATTCAAACCCTAGACCACCATCCTTCAGGCCCCATGAAACGGAACACAAACCCTCAAGCCTAACTCCAGAGAAGCTGGGTGGTGCTAAAATGTGCTCCCAAGATGGGGACAGGGTTTACAGGAAGGCCCTTGTCACGTAGCAAGGAACCAGCCACCCCAGGCTAAAGAAAGAGGGTAAGCAGATGCTGGCAGGGCTAGCAGAAGCCAAGGTTGACCCTTCCCAAACAGCCTGCCTACGCAGATCCAGGGACGTTAGTAGTGGTTGTGCCACTACTGTTGTGGGCTGCAGAACAGAAAAGCCATGTGACCCGGTCCCTGGACTGGGCCTCGTGCAGGGGCTGGACGCGGGGCAGGGTGCCCTGCAGGCGCTGTGCTTGCCCCCACCGCCCTCTCCTGCCTTGTCTTAGGAGTGGCAGCTCTGGTGTGGAGTCGGCAAGGAGGCTGCTTGGATTCCCTATTTCCACGGTGGTTTGCTTTTCAAATCGGGCATCATTTTCTCCTGGCCCTGTGCAGGGCTCCTCATCCCAGCTCCACATGGCCCTGGGGACCCAGAGAGGAACCAGGAAGCTGTGAAACTCCTCAGGTTGACTTTACAGTCTTCTGAGGGAAATGCGTGGGACGTGCTAGGGTGACAGAACAGGCCTTTCCTCCCTGCAGGAGTTTGAGCGGGAAAAGCATGCCCACAGCGTGCTGCAGTTCCAGTTTGCTGAGGTCAAGGAGGCGCTGAGGCAGAGGGAAGAAATGCTGGAGGTAGGTGGCAGTTTCCTTTCCTTTTGGAGTTGGAGCATTTGTTGGTTTTAGCTCAGACTGGTTCAGACCGACTCAGACTGGCTCAGACGGGCTTCCCTCAGGCCAGAGCTGCGCCTCAGTCTCTCACAGTTCTGGGGGCCTCCCACTGCGGCCTTCTTGCTGTGTTCTCACATGGCAGAGGACACTCATCCTGTCAGATCAGGGTCTCACCTGCCTGACCTCATTGAGTACCAGGGTGATGCTAAAGGGAAGTGCCTCTCATGGGTGAAGATTCTTATTCTCTTGGTGGTGGTGTGCTTGTTTGGGGACATGTGGTAGACAGAACAGTGCCCCCCGGCGGCCCCCCCCCCCCCCCCCCGCCCCCCCCCCCGTCAAAGCCCCCCCCATCCTGATCCCTGGAGGTTGTAGGTGTGTTGCCTGACACAGCAGAAATGACTAAGGTAAAGGCCTTGGGGTGTTAACCAGGGCCACTGCTGGGTCTGATACGATCACAAGGGTCCTTGCAAGGAGAGGCCAAAGTAGGGGACGTCAGACCCAAGCAGGGAGTGGAGTGATGGGAGGAATAGCCAAGGCCAAGGAATGTCTAGAAGGGTTCTAGAAGGGGAAAAAAGAAAGACCATCTCCCCTGGAGCCCCCAGGAAGGAACACAGGCCTGCCCCTACCTTGATTTTAGCCCATAAGACTCACTTTGAACTTCCAGTCTCCAGAACTGTAAGAGAATAAATTGATATTGTTTTAAGCCATTTAGTTTGTGGTGATCTGTTACAGCAACAAGAGGAAATTAATACAGGCATGTATCACATGACATTTCAGTCAGCAGTGCACCACAGGTACAACCCTGGTCCCACAGTGTCTCAGCTAGTGTCACTGTAGCCATCTTGCTCTGTGGCAGCCCACTCTGTGGCATTTGCACAGTGAAGATGTCATCTCACAATACCTTTCTCACACTGAACCCACGATGTCCGGCAAAGCACAACTATATGGGGTTGGGTTTTAATTTGTAAGTTAATCAGTACTTTAACTGGTGACTTTGGGGTGAGGATTCACCATGGTAGGTTTTCTCCCTGTACTTCTTAGAGCTGAGAGTAAAGCAAGGGAAAGCCCTCGGACACCGGTGAGCTCAGGGCTGATGAGGTGGAAACGGCCCCTTGTGGACTCACTGTCCGAGCTCTCCGGGTATCCAGCACCAGGCCCTTCTTCCTGCTTGACGCTTTACCTGCTTTCTTTCCATCTGTTCCTTTCCTCAGGAAATCCGACAGCTACAGCAGAAGCAGGAGAGTTATATCAGGGAGATTTCTGATCTTCAGGAAACGATAGAGTGGAAAGACAAAAAGATAGGGGTAGGATTCTCAAGTTGAATTGGGCAAGCGGCTTAGCAAACAGTTATTGCAGAATGTTTGGTTTGCAAAAGCTTTTGTGTGGGTGCATGCAACCCCCGTGTGACACAAAATTAGGAACAGAGTTCATGCACTAACTTAGCAAATTGATAGTAACTAAGATTTGGAGTTGACTGCTTTCCCTGGCTGCATGGTGAGGGGCCCAGGACACGGTGAGGGAGGCCTCTGGGCACTGCCTGGAGGTCACACCTCTCAGAGGTCCCTCCTTGGCCTTGCCTGGGTTTTTTCTCAGAAGGGTTTAAGGAAACTATGGGTAGCAGGAGCTGCACCCCACATAGTTCTACATCGAAGTCTCCCCAGGGTGGCCTCCTGAGACCCACTCCCTCTGCAAAGAGGCAGCCCACCCACGTTCAGCAGTGACAGATAGGAAGACAGGGACCCCACAGAGCCATAGTCGCAAAGGGCTTCTAAAACATAGCAACTCACATGACCCAGCCCTGATAAAGGCCTAGCCGTGTGTGACCATGTGTCTGCAGGTCCACTGTGTGAACTGCACCCTGGCTGCACTTTACACACCCAGCAGCACTTAGCTAGGAGTGCCTGTGCACAGATGCATGTGTTCAGACTGCTTTACTTTTATCAGGGACAACAAACACCCATAATCTATGTGTAAAAATGACGGAAGAGTTCCCATTTGGGGGCTCCTCAGCACTCCTCTTGGTTCTTTGTTTGTCCCTCAGTTAAGTGAACACATTGCTCGTGGGGACTTCAACACCGTGCGAGTGCAGGCCGAGCTAGCACTCGAGGCCATGAAGCCGCCTCTGGTTTCCACGAGCATGCTCGTGAGGTTCCAGAAGCTAGCACCCTGCGCCCGGCCATCGCACAGATGCTTGCTGCCTGTTCTGTCTGCTCCTTAGGCATCTTTCCATGTCTGGGCTGGTTAGTGTGTGGACGGTAGAGCCGCCTTCTCGCTGCTGCTCCTGAAGTAACTGCTCTTCTTGCCTGTCTTCTTTCTCTCTGCTCTGCTGCACACTCAGGCCTTAGAGAGGCAGAAAGAGTTCTTTGATTCCATAAGAAGCGAACGAGATGATCTTAGAGAAGAAATAGTCAAGCTGAAAGAGGAATTGAAGGTATGAAGTCAAAGTCTGTTTAAAAATACCCCGGTGGCAACAGCCAATTCTGGGCTTCTGTGACTGTGTCAGCTGTGTCTATACTGTGACATTGGTGCACGCAAGGCGTAGTTTCACTGCCCTGAGGATTCACATGTGCAGATCGGGGTCATTTGGTGCTCACAAGCACAAGTGATCTTGGGAGGAGCTCAGGTTTTCAGCTCTGGGTGGTTTTTTTGTTGTTTTTGTTACCTGAGTTTTCCTCATACTCATTAGTAAGCCTTCTAGAATATTCCTCCAGGTTGGAAAATGTATTTGTGTCCTTGGAATAAAGCCTCCCCTCATAGACTTCTCCTGATGAGCAGTGTCTGGGCTAAGTGGTGGGGTTAGGCCCATGCTTGAGACCCTGAGACCCTTCTGGTCCTGGGAGAAGGACAGCCCACATCCTGGACATCATGTCAAGGGACCTGCAGCTGCTGGCTTGAGACAGAGTAGAAGCCCAGTGGGCAGCATCTGGGGGGGGCTCTGGAGTGCTGCAGGAGGGAGTGTTGAACAAGGCATGGCCCTGGTGACACCTTCAGTGTCGGGGACATGTCAGGGTCTGCTCTTAAATTCCCTGGTCAAAGCCAGAGCAATGAACCCGCAGGGCACAGGCCTGAGTCAGGTGGCCAATGATGCTCCTCAGAGGCTGTGTGCGCAGCATCGGGGAAGAGCTGTGAGGCAGGGGGGCCGGCAAGTCAGGACCCCAGGGCTGCCAAGCGTCTCTCCGTGTCGTGGACATGCTCATTCTTTTGAATGCATGCAGCATTCTGGACCCCTTTTAATCCCCCCAGCATGAGTCTCATTCCTTCCAGAACACCTGAGCACGCCTTTCTCTCAGGGCTGTGTGGCTGAGGGGCACTTCCCAGGGACGGCTTGGTGTGCCACTTGTGGCAGCTCAGGGGCTCTTATGCCTGGTTTAAAGGATCCCTGTTGAAAGTATCTTGTCACCAGAAAATTAGGTCCCAGATAGGAGCCCAAAGGAGGCAGCATGTGGAGGAAGCCGCCACAGACTTGTGTGTTGGTGGAGCACTTACAAGCGTGGTGCCCAGGCACCTCTGCGTCCCTCTGGAGTTTCCCTCTCCAGGAAAAATACTTTCCTTGTTTAAGATCATTAATAAAAAAAAGTTTTAACTTGATATTTCTGAGTATTACAGTGAGCCTGTTTTTGTTCCCAGAAACATGGAATAATCCTAAATTCAGAAATAGCCAACAATGGAGAGACTTCAGATACACTAAACAATGTTGGGTACCAAGGCTCCACCAAGATCACTAAAGAGGAGTTAAATGCCCTCAAGTCGGCCGGGGATGGGACACTGGGTAAGTATGCGTTCCTGATCCCTTCATCTTTCAATCAGCATTGGCTCACATTCCATGCATTTTTAGAATTGAAGCAATCGTAACTGATCAATTAACAGTCACACAGCATGCCATTTGTTCTGTCACGTCATGGTAATTTCCTGCCAATCAGTGTGAGGGCCCACACGCGTTGTCTGGCATGCACCTCCTCCAGCTTACCACAGTGGCTCAATCCACGTACCTCTGCGTCTCAAAGCTGTGAGTGTAAGGAGGGACCAGCACTGGGTGACCGTGCTCTCCTCAAATCTGTGCCAAGTGTGGCTTCAACCTGCTTCGTTATGGAGCTATCAGATCAGAGCAGCGGAGGCTGCGAAGCAGGTTAGGTGGCCGCAGGGGCCTGCCACGCTGTCACAGCCTGTGCCCCGCTCAGCGTCCCGCAGGCACGAGGGGCACACGGAGCACACACGGGTTGTGGGTCTCCACCCAGCTGGGTGGGGGGCAGGCAGTCCTGGGTGGTGGGTGTGGCCAGGGTGTAGGAGGCCTTGGTCGAGCATGCTCCTTCAAATGCCATGCCCTTGCTTCCGCACGAGGATCAGGTGGTGGAGTCCAGTGGATCATGGGAGATTTTATGTGATTTTTCAGCGACCTGCAGCAACTCACTAATATTCATCATACAGTCTGGCTTTGGAATAACCCCTCAGCCTGAAGCTGCACCCCCTAAAAAAGGCCTGGTCTGTCCCTGGTACCAGTTGCCTTCAAGTTTTTATCAGTGAGGCTGGAATAAGAGAGAGCCCATGATTTTTAATTGCAAATTAGAAGTTTTCAACTTATTTAGTTTTCTTTATGCAAATGTGGAAACCTGTAGGCTTTAGCTTCTCAGGACTCACCTCCCAGGGAAGTCCCTTTTTATCTTTACCACTCCTAAAGACACAGCACTTGGAACTGTGTAAAAGTTGTTGGGAAGGAAAGGTGAATTAATGAATTGCCATCATGCCTTTAGAAGGGGTGCTGAGCAGGTAGGGATTGACCATGCTGCTCTTGTCCAATAGCTGTTTTGCATACCTTTTATAACCACCATGAGCTGCTTAAATACCAGCTTTGTGATGGTCTTTAATGTTTTAGCTCACATATCCCGTCAGTAAAGGATTGTGGGAATTTATCAATACACATGTTATCTTTTAATGTACTTATGTGTACTATTTCATTGATATAGAAAGTACCTCATAAGACATAGAATAATAGAAATTTTTAAAAGGTAAAATAAAACTAAATCGTAGTGCTAGTATCTCCCCTATTTTCCTGGGGTCATGGTCCCAGTGTGGAGACCACTGGCTACAAGATTGTCAGGCTTTGGCTTCCAGTAACATGGTATCTAATAGGCTCAGGCTTGGTTTAGAGAATCTCAAGTATAACTGTTTGTTCCAAAGCAGTGTCAAGCTTCCTACTTGTAAACAGTGTCTTAATTAAGTGGTCCCCTGGCATCCAGCCTTGCCTCCTGCTGGGGTGCATAGGCTCCTGGGCTGAGCTGAGGACTCAGGACAGATGTGGACACTCTTTGAGGAAGAGAATGCTGGGCAGTGGAGCATAGCTTTCTCTTTGCCTTATAGGAGCTATTTTAAAGGTATCCTCATTAAGATGGATCTTGAGTCTAAGCTTCTGAAACTGAACTGAACATTCTTTAAAAACAACAATTTGAGAGCCACTTAGGGGCTCTGATCAGCAAAGCCACTTGATAACCGGAAAAGCACGAGGTGTCAGGATGTACATTTGGAAATGGGAACGGACTTGCAGTCCATTCTTAAACCCATCATTTTGGGTTGTTTGGCTGTCTGATCCAGAGCTGTTTCTTTGTGTTAAAACGTGAATTCACCTTGAGAAGCTCATGCACGGCGGCACCAGCACACTGTTGCCTTGGAGATGGTGGCCAGGCCTCACTGATCAGATTCTTGCTAATGCAGTTGCTGCTTTGCCACACTTAAATGGCAGAAGCCTCCATTTCATGTGATTCTTTGATGACTCACTCTCTCTAGGAACAGGGCTGGGTGGGAATTAGAGCCTGTGTTTACTTTTTAATATATGTTGAGTGGTCACCGCATCATGGGGTCCCTTCAATTCTCTCAATGGTCTTTTAGGAAGAGCCACAGAAGTGAAGGTGAAAAATGAAATTGTGGAGAATATGGGGAAAAGAGCAATCTTGCAGAATACTGAGCAAGGACAGCACAAAGAGGACACAGTAAAGGATTATGTATCACATCCTGGTGAAAATGTGGAGGAGCAGAAAACCTCTGGAGACAGTGCCCCGTCCCCAGGACCCAGAGCAAATGCTAACTGTGAGGAGCAGGTTCACAACCAAGTTCTAGAGAATACTGCTTTCCTTGAAAGTCCAGGGCAGGTTGAGTCAAGAGGGGTCATAGACGTGCCAGATGGTGAAACTGGGGCTTCCCTGGAGCAGCCTGGTTATTGGAGGGATTTAGACAAGGAAGCCCCAGTACCCACGAGTGGGCAGGACAGTTGCACTGCCTTGGATGTCAAAAGCCAAAGTGAGCCATCTGTAGGAAGGCAGGAAAAAGAAAAGCAGGAGGATTGGAAAAGCGACTTGGAAGAGGTTAGCCCACAAACATGCCAGGAATCTGCTCCTGTGCCAATACCTGAAGTTGAAAGAATGAGCAGGACAGATGCTGGAGGGCCAAGTGGGGGTCCCCTGGGGAGTATAGTAGAGGCAGGGGGAGTGCCAGCTGGGGAGCAAGTGGGCACAGCGCCTGCAAGTCCTCTGAAGCATGGTGATGACCCAGTGTCTCAAGGTGGACAGTGTGTGTTTAGCACCAGTGCAGGGCAGAGCTTAGAGAAGGAGCTCACCAACCAGGAGGCAACTGAGCTGAGAGAGGCCCCAGTTCATAGCACAGAAGCCCGTGGGAAGAACAGTGCAGAAAAGGGTGGAGCTACGGAGGTGAGGGATGAGGAGCCAGGCCACGCAGAACCCCAGCCCGACCCTGGTGCTCCAGCAGCCAAGGGCAGCCATCAGGAAGCAACAGGCTCAGGTAGGGCCGATGCTGAAGGTGAGCTGCTTGATGCAAAGGAACCAGAGGAGGAGAAGAGTGACCAGCAGGCGGAGGCATCAGAGTCACCCCAGAAGAAGAATAAGAACAAGAAGAAGAAAAACAAGAAGAAAAGATCACCAGCAGCTGCAGAATCCCTTGAGGGTGTTAAGAAAGAACTGAGCTATCAGAACGCAGAGGTAGGCGAGATTAAGGAAGAAGAGCAGGTGCAGTTTTCTGACAAGAAACGAGTAGTGGAATCACAAAATGAGGTGACCCAAAATCCAGAGCAGAAAATTGTGGCGGGAAGCAGGGAGCCTGTGGATTGTCCAGGGAATCGTGAAACGGAGTTGAATGGAAAGCTTCAGCAAGAGGGCGGTGATGTGAAGACCAGGGCAGAGGGAATGTCTCACGGAGGCACGCTGAATCCCGAAGGTGGGACAGTTGAGTCGTCAGGTGCTAGTGCTAGTGATAAAGCATTAGATGAAGATGGTGATGACAAAGCAGCCAGCAGCGCCCAGAGCAGTCCTCGAGAACCAGAGAAGGAAGAAGGGGACAGCAGCTCCCTGCTGGAAAACAGCCCCTCAGTGGACACTGATGATGCCTCTCGGGCAGAAAGTGCCAAGAGGCAGGATCCGTCCCAACACCCAGGTCAGGTGGCTGACAAAGCCCAGGACAGCCTGGGTCAAGAAAGCAGTGAGTTGTCAGCAGCAGCAGGGGAGACGGGGGACTCCAGTTCAGAGGGTGGAAGAGAAGCAGGAGAAGGAAGCGAGAGGGGCAAGAGCAAAGAAGACTGCACCATGTCCTAGGGCAGGCAGGCCGCAGACGGGCAGATGGCGGGCCCCAGACAAGGTTGCAGAGAAGGCCCGACCCACTCCGCACAGCAAGTCCAGGCGTCAGAGACGCTTTCCTCGATCTCACTGGCAACAGTGCAGAATGTCCTACTTGATCTAGATGTACTGTATGACAGTGACTCACTTACTACATTAGCTACATTGTTACCTACAGGTTCGTGTTTAATCATTGAGGTTGTCACCCATATTAGGAAGAAAGACATTTGTTTTCAGAGTAAGTTCTGACGGAGAGCTTTCCAGTAGCAGCAAACAGTAAGGTATACCTGTACTCTTTTTATATTCTAGCCTGAAGTAAAACTACTTCGCTAGACCCCAGGCCATTATGCATGTAGATGTTGACCAAATATGTCAACATCCAATGAAATGACCAAATAGCACTCTTAGATTTCTGCATCATGAATATTGTGCATATTTAAACTAATATGTGTACTTCCATATTTGATTTTAACATGTACATTATAACCTGCATAGTATTTTATTTAACTGAAATAAATGTCCAAATGGCATGTAGGTCACTGAGTGATAAGATATGCACCTTAGGCCAATAATTGATCATTTTAGGGATAACAAGTAAATATCTGAAAGCACTAGGGAGGTCTTTTTCTTCTTTACCTCATGTATTTAATTTCATGCCAATACCCTTGGATCTCATTGTCCAGATGACCAAGTTTATTTTGTAGATTTTGACTTCACTTCATGCTTATGAAGCATCAGATTCATTGTATATGAAGATTATTTTTTAAATATCTTTATCAAGAAATATGTTGAAATTGCATTTCCTACTGTGGTATTTAGACAAGGGCAGTCTTTTAAAATTTTTTAACTTAAAATTACTTCTCTTTCTGTTTGAATGTCTTAGTCATTATTCAAAAGAGCAACACAAAACATTACTTGTTCTAGTGCAAACTACTCATTAGATTAAACTAGGATATTTTAAAAAGTTGAATCACTTTTGGTATTTTGGTATAAATATTTTTATTTGTTATTCTCAGTATATTTTTACTGGAATTTTTTGTTTTGATCTGCCTGGAAAATTATATTTTTTCTATATAAAAAAATTTTAAATAATCATAAATTAAGTAAAAAGTAATGGTAAAGTATAAAATCACAAGGGAATGTATATTATGAATGCTATTGACACTTTATAAGATTATTGGAATTTGTATTAACTGTTACAAGATATAATTGAGTACAGAAAGACCAAAACCTCAGTAAATTTGGAGGCGAACCTAAGTGTTACATAACTAAAATAAAAGCATTTTATAATTTAACAAGGCTGTGGTTTAGTCTGTGGGCTCCTTGACCTCTGACCCTGGCTGCTGTTTCACACAGTGGCCCTGCTCCTGGCTGCTGACCCCGCAGGGCTCTGAGCCTCTATTCCTCACCGCCTGGCAGTAGTAGGTATGTGCCTTCCCTGGGGCCATCCTGGCACTGGTAGAGGGCCATGCTTGGAGAAGTGAGAAGATGGTCCCTCCTGTTGTTTCCTGTGCTCTCTGGACCCCCAGGTGGGCCCCAGCTGGAGGGTCTCCGTTTAAGCATGCCAACATAGAGTAGTTGGGGAGAATGATCAAAGTGGCCAGTAAACCTTGATCGGTGCCGCTCAAGTGCCCGGAGGAAGAGGACAGAGGGTATGATGAATCCTCTCCTCTTGTGCCATGAACGCAGGAAAGTGGGGGACTCGCTGGAGGCTCCAGCCAAGGGCTCTGCAGGATGCAAGGGGCCCTGGTCCATGTCACTGCAGCCAAGCCGCTTGTGTGCTGGAGCTGGAGGGTGTGTGGGAAGGCAGCTCTCGTTTCGACTTTCAGAGGCCCCCCACAACCAGACACTAGAGTAACACCCTCTGGTCTTCTTGAGCTCCGTCCTTTTCTCCCAAGTTCTCCAGCAGCACGTTACATCAGGCACACCACAGGTCCTTGAGCTCACTGTCCAGCCTCTGTCATTCACCCGCTCATTTGTTCATTGACAAGCACACTGGTCACTGAATAGCTGAAGGCACTGGCCAGTGGACAGGCACAGGCTCAGCTGTCTAGTGGGGTGCCGAAGCTGAGAATCAGCAGCAGACAATCAAGGGAGGAGCGTGCCGCAGCAGAGTCATGTCTTGGTCCTTCCAGTGCCTTTATGGCAGACATCAGCTTCTGTGCCCTGTGCATGTGACAGCACCACAGCCCAGCCCAGCCCCTGCTTGTCCTAGGGAGGGACCTTCAGCCCCCAAGAAGTGATTAACTTAGGCATATTCAGTGTCAAGGCAATTTAGAAAGATTCCAGCAATAAAAGGTTCAAACTCAAGAGAATTGCAAGGTTATCTCTCAGCCAGAGGAATTTAGGCTGGAACAGAAGAGAGAAAAGTGTTCATTCAACAAGATCTTAAAAACCTTGGTTGTGTGTCAGCCCCAAATCAGAAAATACCTATTATATTAAAATGTAAGTGTTCCTTCAAAATTATAGTTGTGAGTCTGTATAGAAAATAAGAAAGAACAGATTTGGGGCTTTAATTTTGTTATGCAAAGGTTAGAAAGCAGTAGCATTTTTTTAAATCATTTTTAAGAATGAACTGTACTGCACTGACTACTTTCTGTGATGTTTAGTACTTCTGATTCAATGAACACCCAATGAAACTAAAATTCCACTATCACCAGAACCCTGGAAGGCTACTCCTGGGGTTCAGAGAGCTTGGGGTCCCTCTGGTCTGGTCCCTTCCAAGGAGACCCCATGGTGCAGCATGCCACCATGGCCACTGAGCCAAGGGAACCAATAGGAAGATTCCTTCCAAATGCCCAGACCCCTAAACGAAGGGGAGGGAAGCACACGTGTGTGTCAGGTTCAGAATATGTGCTTGTCCTGCCATGATCAGATCTGTGCCGGCTGTCACGTGCTGTTAGTTGAATCGTGCTGCCCCTGGATGGAGAACTAACTAACAACACACAGGCCAAAGGAATGACTGAGGATCCCAGTACTTGTTTGCCTACCCAGGAAGTTTCTAGAAGTCTTTCCCTCTTTGTTCCCCATTCATGGATCTCTAAAATGTCTACCATAAAGTTTGCTGGAGTCCTTAATATATTATTAATGTGTAAAAAACATTTCTTTTTTTAAAACAGATTTCTTAAAAATGCAATTCTTTAGCAATATCATTAAAATACCTTTACTAGTCTTCTGATTTTAGCTTCCCAGTATAGAAGGAAGCCCTAAAATCAGGACTTGACCTTTTTCTGTGCTTCATTTCTAAACACTGCAGGGGCTGGCTGAGTAGTCTCCACCTGCCTGTGCAGGAGTATTTCTGACCAGCAAGGCTACTTGCTGCATAAATACAGGATAATCCTGGGTTTTTAGCATTCTGGTTAGGTGTTAACGGTAAGTTTACCACTGATGTGTCATTTCATCAAGCAAGTTACACTTGTTGATTTTTAAAGCTTTGAAAAGTGGTACTTTTATTTTCTCTATATCAAGTTATTTTGCTTTTTTCCATTTTCTGAAAGCTGTTTAGTTTTCATTTTGTTCTCCTATTCTGCTTTAAAATTTCTCTTCCTAAAGTTCTGCCTATTTTTTAATAGTCTCACTATAAGACTAAAAGTCAGATCACCTGTATTTTTTTCTTTCACTAAGATTACATTTTAAAATTTATTTCCTACTACCTTTCTAAAATTTTAAAGTCTTCTTGGAGACTTCTTAGACTCAAATAATAAAAGATAGTAAAATTATACAATGGATATATGAGCTTCAGGATCATTTTCAGATGTATTCAGTGTTTTGTATATAGGAGTAAAAAAATATGTAGGATAAGATGAAAAGTGATATTGGGTAAAAGAACCAAGTTTATGACCACGAAAAAATTAATTTCTGTGTTGGATGCATTTATGAAAGGGAAGAAATGAAGTAACTGTAAGACACCATTAGCCTTTAAAATGCATTTCCAGAAAGGATCCTGAATTTATCTTCTGCTTAAAAATTTCTCCTCTTTTGTTACATAGTGCCTTTCAAAATAGGGTTTTTAGAAAACAAATTAGAGAAAACCTGTAAATTGGATTAGAATGTGGCCAGATAGTTTTTTAAATGAAAACAAAGACACATTTTATGTGGGTTATTTTCTTCTCACACGGCAAATGAAAATCAGTGTCTTACTCGATGGAGAATTTAGAGCTAAGCAATGTGGGGCAGGGTCCCCTTGGAATCCAAGCTCAGGCAGGGGTCCGCATCCCTCCCAGAGATGCGGGACTAGCCTGGAAGTGCTGGAGCACCCCGAGGCCGGGCTGCTAGGCCCTGGACAGGGACCACCGCCCTGGGCCATCCCCTTCTCTAAAGAGGGGAGTGATGGCCCACCCACCGGGCTCTTGGGCTGATACAGGCCGACGCCCGGAAGCTGCTAGAACAGGGCCTGCCTATGTTGCAGAGTGTGTGCGGGTGCATCCCTGTCAGCATCGGTTCTCCAGATTTTGCCTTTAAGCAGATGTGAACACTCCCATGTCTTGGTCCCGCTGAACCTGAACGCTGTAGTACCCTCCTGCACAGAGGTGTTGGGGCTACAGACACATTTTGTACACATCCTTATGTGCCTGACGGGGGTGTGTAAAAACACCAGCCATCCCTACGCTTGCCTTCAAAGAGTAACTGGGTTAGGGCATGTTGTCAGCGTGCTTGGATTTGTAAACAGAGTCAAAACTGTCACTGGTGAGTCTACAAGAGAAACAAGATAGGTACACCCGAGCTGTCAGCTCAGGGAGGAAGGCTGCAGTGGTGCTCCTGTGTCCTGATTCGGGATGCGTGTTGCCCCCGGCAACCTGAAGCGTGAAGCCTGTGAGCTCTTGTGTTGCAGTGTGGTTTGCCTGGCGTTCTTGCATGCTAACCTAAGTAGAAGACTAGCCTGTTTGCATGAGCCGGATGCTGCTCCCAGAAGTGAGTCGGGAGGTGGCGCCTCCCCTGGCTGAGTACCTCCCTGTCCTGCCTGCCTCATCCACCATGGTACGTGTGTAACTCTGCCTTCATCATTCATCTCACTAACCCCAACCAGCATCCCCTGGCGAGCCACCGCTGGAGGGCGCCACGTGCCATTCACCCGAACCTGTGTCTCTCTCCTCTCTTCAGATATTAGGTTGAAAAAGCTCATTGATGAACGGGAATGCCTGCTGGAACAGGTAACGATCTTTTGATTACTTTAGCAGGGCACGTGAAACCACAAGCCTTCCCGTCCTGACATCTAGTGCACTCAGAAAACCCCCAATACATCGTGCCTGAAAAGAACCATAAGCCAAACCTTAGCTTGATTTTGTCCAAACAGAACATCATACGTCACGCGAGTGTTAGGGAGGAGGTCTCAGAGACCTGAGGCCACTGTACTGAGCTGGGTACGTTCTAGTGGATTGCTGCTTGAATTGCACATTAGTGTGGAAGGCCCAGGCTAAGTGCTGAGACCAGGCCTTGGTCGCTGCCAGCACCTCTCCTCTCACTGGTGCTTGTCACCACCCATCAGCCTTGTGCCCAGTGATCAGTCCCTTCCGGCAGGCGTTTCTTTGAATGGTTGATCAGCATTGTTAACTGTGATTTATCTTCATTCTCTCTCTGACCTCAAGAAATCCTGGATACTGTCCTTGCCGTGTTCAGGACGGTTACTAAATTATTCCACAACACCTTCTAAGGAAACTCAGTTCCTCTAATTTTCCTTCAGAAGCTACTAACCAAATGCATTTGCCTGACTTTTTACAATTCTGTTGAATACTCTTTCAAGACTGGATAAAGCATCTGTGGTGGCAGGAGTCTCGGGGATCCTGTGTTCTTTTAGAAACACCATCCGGTCTGGGGTGTGGCTCAGTGGCAGGCCATGGCCTGTCATGTTCGAGGTCCTGGGATCCATCCCTAGCACCACAAAAAAGTAAAACAATGTGAACTTTTAACACGTATCCACTGTCATTCTGCACCGTGTCCTTGAACCAGCAGGCACCGTGGTCCGTGTTTGGTCAGAGGTGCAGGGAGATGGCTACCCAGAGGATGCCTCAGAGGTCAGAAGCG